GATTTAGGAACAATTTAACATGCCATCCTGGCTCTACACTTTGGGGACAGTATACAGCAACTGTGATATCTTAGAGCCAGATCTTTGTGTCCTTGCTGAGACTTAGCGTGGTACTGCTCAGCATGAGGAAGGAAGGAAGGAAGGACGTGGCACTAAAAGTGATGGGTGTTTTGTCCGGCAGGCTTTTATTTTACTTTGCTCTCTTTCTCGTAATCAAATCTCTCTTCCACCCCTAGTATTACATCTTTCCAGCATGCTCCTCTTAGCAAGATCTCAGCTGACACTAACTGTCTCATTAAAGTTATTGTGAGCCTTAATGGTTTTCCACAGTGAACTCAATCCTCTTTAACAAGAGTTAGCATGTAACAAACAATGACTCATTTCAAACCAAGGCAGAATGATGCATGAAAAGGCGCAGAGAGCTGAGTCCATTCATTTTTAATATGACAGAAAAATACATCACACCAGAAAACAAAAGGGAGGGTAATGAGATTTCTATTGAGGAATTATAAAACACTCTTGTGCACTGAGATTTTCCAAGACAAGAAACACCTCCGTTGGAGGAAACTGAATATCTTTATAACACTGCTAAACCTCATGCTTCCTTTCAATTTCCTATTAAAAACTGAGAGCAACAGCAACAGGACCCCCCGTTTTCTTTCTGACTCTTTGGCTTTACAATGCTGCAATGATGGGGAGACACCTCTCCACTCACTCAATTCTGGCTGCATAGTTTCCAAGACAAGGCTACCTCCCAAACCTCCCTCAACCCCACAACACTTGAACTGAGGCAATCAGACAAGCAGGCGCACAAAAATATGACCTGAAAAACTAATGGTCTAATGAACTTTTAGTTACCTATTCAAGTACAGTGGATCTTTAAAGGTAAATGAGAGAAGAAGAATGAAAGGCTTTACCCTCCTTATTGCTTTGCTTTATTTGTGCAGTGTTAACACAGTAACCCCCACCCCTCAGTTTCTGTGAATATGGGTGGTCGTTATAGCGCGCGCTGTTGATGATGCAGCGTGGGGGGCTGGGGGAGGTTGGAAATTAAGCTAGAACTGCCCATGGTGCTGAACAAAGGCAGCAAATCCTCACCTTTTATCAAGTTAGGCTATGCACATTGCTATTAGATAAGGCAAACCTAATAGCTATTAGAGATGTTTCACTCTAAATGGTATTTTCTCCATACAGGACTCTCCCACTGGATTGGAGACTCTTAAATATTTATCCCATGCTTTGGGCCAACTGCATTCAGAGTGCCAGAAACCGCTGGTCCACCCCTTCAACTATGCGCTCAGGTGTGCTGAGATAAAAGTCCTTCTTTGCTGCTCTGCTCAAGGTGCAAAAGGACCATTTTCCTCTGCTCAGGCCGAACATCAGCAAATCATCCAGAGATGACCTAGACTTCTAAAGCCTAGCAAACTTTGGTAAGGAAATCAAAATTACCTTCATTAAATCAAATATAAACGCTGTGAGTAAATGTACTTACACCAAGAACTACCAAGGCAATGGCTGTAATCCTTGGAATTGCAGAAAACGTCATGTTTTCATCTTTCGCTGCCTATGTCTACTCCTTTCACATGCCCTCCCTCTCTTCAATCCAGCATTTCTGATCTCAAGACATCAGTCCCAGGTGTCAGGATGAAAAAGCATCCCACCATTTTCTGACTTGCACCAAAGCCCATTGTTTCCCTGATCTGTGCCACTTAACAAACCTGAATACTACAAGACTTTGGGCAGATATTTAAATTTCAGGGTGACAGAGATAAGCATCTGCATTGCAAACATTTATAATTTCCTGTGCCTAAGAAATCGGAAACGTGTATTTTTCAGTGCATTAGAGATGTGTTTAGACCCTTGGTTATAGCTGAAAGCCAGGGCACTTGGCTTCTGTTTCTAGCTACATCATGACTCAATATGTGTAACCTTGGAGAAGTCACTCATGTGTCAGTTTATAAATATGTAAAATGCACATAATAAACAAGTCACTCGTCACCAGAGTGCTGTGTTGCCTGACTTTGAGATCTTTCGATAAGAGAGAGAGGTGGGGGATTATTATTTAGGACCTGCTTTGTATCTTGCCAAGAGTCCAGGACTGCACATCTAAGCCGTATGGGCCTTTCCCATCACTGTGGGTGCAAAAATGACCTTTGCAAATAAAACGAGCGAGATATCTGCCTGCTTTCAGGCACAAAAGTGCTGTGCGCGTATTCACCGTAACATCATGTGCGAATTAGGAATACAATTACACACGCACCCTTTGAGTAATGTGACCTTTCGGGGCTTTGAAAGTCCACCCCTTAATGCTTTAACGTAATCAAGGACACAAGATCAATTCATTTGGCTTCCACTAAAATGTCCAAGAGTGGGTAATGAATGTTCCCACTCCAAGGAAAGCCAGGCAGCACTTCTTGGTCCCTCACACATTACAGTCATGGTCACATTCAATTGGGAGCGTGGAATTAAAAAGTCATACCGAGTGGCAGCCCTAAGGCTTGATTTGAAAGACGTATGTCCTTCGTGTCATACAGAAGCAAGCGTCACTTAAGCTTGACAACTCTGTCACCTGTGTCAGAGAGGTCCTGGCCAGTCTTCACAATGACAATGAATCATTTTGCCTCCATTAGGCTGGAATACAAATAAATGCTTATTGTCAGCAGTGACATGAGGGTCAACCCCTTAAGCCTCCTCCAAATGTGCAATTAAGCAGTATCAAGCCAGCGCGACAGCTGCCTATGGAGTTTCTTTTGCAAAAATAAATTAATGTCTCCTCCAAAATCATAAATACCCTTACCTCCATATATTTATTTTAGATGCCTTTTATGGCTAAAAGTGACCTTTCATTAGGCAAACCAGCCGGTGGAGAAAATTCGCTCTCTCCAACCTCCTAGTCCCAACTCAATGGAGGTTTGTTGTCTTTCTGTTTCTGGTTTCCCCTTGGCTTATCCCAACACAACCTGCTTAGCATTTAAAATGTACTCTGTTTGACCTTATAACCCATTTCTTTGTGACATGGGTTTCATCAATAATAAATTACTGTTTATTCAGTGGCATGTTTCTGTTTTATTCAAAAGAGGTTACATTAGCCTCCCAGCTCAGCTGGAAGAGAGAGACTTCAGAAATGACGGGAAAAGGGACACCATATAAATGTGAACTGCATTTCTGTGCTCCTGAACGAAGCTATAATTAAACCTTTCACCTAAGGGATGAAGTGAACTGCTGGGATCTTCACTACATCTTGCCTCATGTATGAATTATGAATGAAACAAAGCCAGCAGAGATGCACTAAAACTCCCATTGCCAAATCTGCTTCACTGAAAGAGACTAATTGAGCATGGCTCAGTTAACTCTTAAGGTACAAAGCTTCTTAAATGGATTCATGCCCGATGGGGGGGGGGGTTTCCATAGCATTTCAGAATTATTTTCCCCCCTTCCACATTAAGCAAAAGGATTACGAATCTGTTGAAAGATGTGGCAATCCTGCTTTGAACAATATTGCTGTTATCTAGAAGGCCTGGGATTCCTGTTCTTTTAAAATACCCAGAAATGGCAATGGGACTCTGGGGCTCCAGATTTCAAAGATGAAGAAATCTGAATAAAGTCTCAAAGATGCACGGTTCCACTGGATGGGTGATTACAGTTGTATGTGAAACAAATCTGATGGGAGGTAGGTCTCTGTCTTAGAAAACTAGCCACTGCTAGA